CGAAATCTCAACGTTGGCTAGAATATTGTCCTCTGGAGGATCCAAACTAATGAACGCAGATAGCATCCCAAGTGGCTTCTGTCGCGCACACCGGTATACTTTTGTGCGCAGTGACATCCATATGATAGTTTCCTTCGGGATAATCACCAAATGCTTACTAACGGTAACTGCTTAGGACCTTGAATTTATTCAAGCGTTGAACACAGTTACTGAAGAGGAGCAAAAACAGCACGGGCATCAAGGGTTTGAGCCGCAGTGCCGCTCTCGATGGTCTGTGGGCACACCAACTCGAAACAGAAATTACACCGCTTGTGACCTTTACATGCTCGTCGGAATCATGTGACCCAGGGAGGAACTATGCCCATACACCGTTTTCAGAATCACTATCACGTGTGATCAGCATATCTGATAGCCAGATCCGAAATCAGTCCGCACTCAGAGAATTACTTGATGCAAACATACGCTCCGATTGTGTTCACGTCGAAAAATCAAGTTTACTGTGAGTTCATTTCAGGGATATCATTACCGCTCTTGGAGTTTCCTGTTTTCGATGAAACGTTTCCAAGGTGAGAATGGGGTGATGTTTTCTCTCAGATGAAATCAGGGCAATTAAACGGCAAGCAACAGCAACCATGATAAAAAGCTTCAGAAAGGGTGGGTCAACAAATCTTCAGCGCGGCTCATAGTAACAGTGGAGCAATAGATATAGGGTACCAGCCCGGCTGCCGCCGAGTTCTCCTCCTTCTGTTTCACGGCCCGGCAGACACTTTTCTCTTGGGCGAGGTAGAATGCGTTAAGTTTCTCAAAGGTACAGTCATTTTTTATCAAACTGAAGAAAATGCGTTGAAAAGAGCTCAACATCAGTCATTATCTACCAACATCTGGTCCATCTTGCTTACTACAGACCTTCAACCGTGAGAAGGCTGCACTATATCATTAAGGACCGCAGTTGCAACATCAGAATGGTAAAGTTGAATTAGTCCGGATGTAAAGTCGAATCAGTCCGGATGAGTCCTCAACACCCGGAAAGGCATAACTGCAGAGTCATGGGTGGCACTGAAAAGGAGAACTTCACATTGCTTGAACATGTCAAAGTGTGTGTCTCACAGAGAGCTCGACCACTGACAAGACGTTCCCACTCCGTCGGGCTGTTTGTCTGTTGTTGGGTTCTCTCCCTACTTTGCCCCAATTGCGACTGCCACGTAGCAGGCAGATTTGTGAAAATTTTTTGGTTGGTGAATTTCTCGATGTTCCCGTTTCAGCCGCACTAGCCCCCCCCCCACCCACGGTGGACAACATGATTTCACGAATCAAATGGTATCTTACCTGTTTTTATCGATTGATAAGATTACCTGTCACCCGTCATCAATGTCCTCATCACTAAATCTCTATGATTTGGTAGCGTGAACCACCTTGAACAGCGACGACACTGCAACTTCCCTTATCAGCCCCTATCAGTAGTTATCGCTTCCAGTCACCCACGGTTGATGTCCCCATCTCACATTCTACATCACTTGCTGAAACGTGAGCCTCGCTGATGCTGTCATCCGCGTTATGAATACTTTCTCCTTCCAAGGCCCCTTATCGAATCTTATCAGCAGCTTACGTGCTTGTCACCCACCAATAATGTTCTTGGCCCATACCCTATATCATATCTTGGAATCAAGAGCTAGCTGATGCTGTCACCCGCGTTATGAATATGGTGACCTCCCCTTTCTAACGCCTCTTATCGGATCTTATCAACTGATATCACTTCCTGTCACCCACCAATAGTGTTCCCGTCACACCCCCTACATCACTTCTTGGAACCAATGTCTCACTGCTACTGGGACCGGCGCTATGAATTTCGTGACAGACAGACGGACGCACACACACACACACACACTGACAGACATACTTAGCGAACTATATATAGTAGGATGATGCAGGAGCACCTTTGATGGGTGACAAGAGCTTCTGACAAGAGGCGTTAAAACGAGAAGGTCACCATATCGACAGCGCGGGTCACAGCATCGTCTGCGCGTTGATTACAAGATATGGTACAGTTGGGACATCGAGTGACACGCACTGTTAGCAGCTGATGAGGTTTGACAAAAAATTCTAGAAGGGCAAAGTCACCGTATTCATAGCGCGGGTCACAGCATTAGCGAGACGTTGGTTTAAGCAGGTTATGTGTTCCAGACGGAGAAATAGACGGTGGGTGACCTAAAGTGATAACAACTGATAGGGGATGATAAGGGACACGTTGCCTTCGTTGCCGTTGTTCAAGGTGGTAGACCTTTCACACTATCAAACTATATAGATTCACTGCATTGATGCACTGATGACGGATGACAGGTCATCATGTCGATTGAAGAAAATTTGATGAGATATCATCTCCACTGCCCTTCCTTTTATGCCTTTTCTTCACACCGATCACGAAGTTCATGCCATCATTTGCATGTAATGACGCCGAGTGGGGGCGGGAGGTGCGTGTAATGGTGTCCCAAAAATGCGGGGTGAATGATTTAGTTCAGGAACCTGAAGAGAGAGAAAAGGAGAAGATCTGTTGTTTTGGATGGTCCCATAATGTTCATCCTGCACAAGAAAAAAGGGTGGATGAAGTCAAGCGCTGAATGTCTGATCACAGAGGCTGGACCCCTTGTCGAGCTTCTTCGCGAGACTGACATCCCTGCTGCAACTGCTGCTCTGAATCATGTCTGATAAACTGGAAATTGTCAAGAGGGTCTGTGTATGGGCAACTAATTTTCTTGCACGAAAGCATATTATGGTTGTAGCAGTTATGTTCTCCGCATGAAATGTCATTCACGACTGTGAAAACGGCCCCAGATGGAATGTGGGTGGTCTTGAACTCGACCTGAAACTCACAAGCGTCAATTTTGTATGAATGCAGATGAGAAGGCGCCCGAATTCTGTCATGAGGAGTTACGTGGGCCAAGTGGATGAACACTATGGCGAAGGATATCTGCACTGAGGTTTTCAAGCGGCTCTATACAGAGACAAATCGTCACTGTCGGTGCATATTGCCTGTTCTCAACATCAGATCGACAAATGGATGGTACCACACAACTACAAGAAGGCCACCGGCTCGTCATAGTGCCAGACTCAAGTAACTGTATATAGGGCAGTGCTGGGACACAAACAATACTGAGACCTGGGTTCAATCGCCTCATTCGCCCAACATAAAGCCGTTCGATTTCCAACTGTTCTGGTCAGTCGAGGGTACTCTCCGACGGCAAACGCTACAATGTTTTGTCATTCGCCGAAATTGGCATCAACAGCAATTTACTCGCACTTGTTGAAAAAACGAAGGTACCAGAGGTCCAAAGCCTTCGGGGCAATGGGAGCGGGTCATCGATTTAGGAGAGATATGTTTACCTGCAAGCCAAAGTATTCCCTCTGCCTTCTTTATGAATAAAACCTTTCGCACTTTTGAATGATATGACCTAATATCTACCATTTTCACTTCAAAACGGACACTTTTCAAACCAAATCGGACACTTTCAAACCAAATCGGACACTTTTCAAATCAAATCGGACACTCCTTACAATGGGCAGTTGAGAACTAGAACACACTACAACACTACTACTGCCAGTCCCGCCCCAACATCCCTGCCCACTTCATAGCGCGGTCATGGTTTTCCAAACTTAAGATTTTGCTTCATCAAATTTTTTTCACTTTTGCTTTTTGACACACACTCCGAATGCATTTGTTGAGAACCGACAGATGTCTGACTCCCCCCACTTTTCAAGGTGTTACGCAAATTTTGGAATTTTTATAACTTTTTCGACGTCGATCTTTTCACATTGAATCTTCACAAAACGAATATACTCATAGCCATGCATTTGCACACTAGCACACTAAGCTTCGCCCCTCTGACCACGCCCCTTCTATGTTTCATGTGGAATTTCTAATTTTCTTACAGATGTTCCCTTTTTCAGGCTCTATCAATTGGCTCCGCTTCGCTAATATAAGCTTTGTACACTTTGTAGAAATCTCGTCCACTTCCTGAAAAAAGATGCGTATCGGCGGGCAAGAGTACGTACTGGCAAGTTATAGCCTCTCCCGTTACTTGGAACGATGTAAGCCTTTTTTCCATTCAGTGTGACGAGAGAGACCATAACCTGCACTTCAGCCCACCCATCCGCCTCATTTCTCAAAAGTGGGCGGGACTTCTACAAGTGGGCGGAGCTTCTATTAGTGAGCGGAGCCACCAGTTACCGCAAATACGAAAATTTGGAAGAGAACTCGAACTTCCGCGTTAAATATGAAAGGGGTGTGGCCAGAGGGGCGGGGCTCAGTGTGCGAGTGTGCAAATGCACAGCTATGAGTATATTCGTTTTGTGAGGATTCAGTGTGAAAAGATCAAATCGAAAAAGTCGTAGGAATTTAAAACTTGCGTAGCAGCATTGAAAAGTGGGAGGAGTCATATATCTGTCGGTTCTAAACGAATTCATTTGGAGTATGAGTTTCAATTAGAAAAGAGAAGAGAAATTCGATGAAGCAGAACTCATAAAACACTGGAAAACCATGACCGCGCCAAGAAGTGGGCGGGGATTTTGGGGCAGGGCTTGCAGCAGTACCTAGTGTGCTCTAGTTCTCAACTGCCCATTGTAAGAGGTGTGCCCTGCATTTCCAACGCATGGATGCTTGCATCGGAAGCTCACATCGAAGATCTGATGTTGCAAGCCAGGAAGATCAAGTACGACGTCATCGGACTGACCGAGACGAGGAGGCATCGCCCGCTACACGCCGTATACGAGACTGGAGAAGAACTGTTCCTCGGAACATGCGACAGCAGAGGCGTTGGCGGTGTGGGCGTCCTCGTCGACACTTGGCTGTGAACATCTATCTGTGCGAAAATCTGACGATCGAATCGCACGCTTGAGACTGAGAAGATGTGGTTCAAACTTTTGACAGTCTTCGTCGCCTACGCACCAACATCAAGCTACGACGAGGATGAGCTCGAAGCGTTCTATATGGAATTGGAGAAGTTCTACAAGGAAGATCATACCTTCTTCAAGGTCATCGTCGGTGATTTCAACGCTAAGATCGGACCAAGAAGAACGGCTGAAGATTTTCAAATCGGAACTCACGGAATAGAGTGAAAGGCTGTCTGAGTTGTAATGTCGACCTATACCATCCATGGTAACTGGCAACTCCAAGTGCCCCTTCTCCATGGTGGACATGAGTCTCCTGGTAGATAATTCCGTATTGGGGTCAATCGCATCATCTTCGATAGGAGTTTTTGCCTGACTGACGTCGATGTTGTTCCTAGTTTAATAAGGGATTCGACCACCGTTTCCTTCGCGCTAGTTTTCGCTTTCCAAAAAGAGCTGCAAAGTTTGAGAAGCGAAGTTCAGGACCGTCATCAGTGGGGACCAATACACTTCTCTCGCTGGACTCTAGGAAGATTTCGTTGTCAACAACAGCGACGAGGGATGCGAAAGGCTTGTCGAACATATTCACGTCTGCGCCAAAATCAGAGAGTTTCATGA